ATCTACGATAACCAGTAAACAGACGAAAGAAGTCACTGGAAACAGTGCCGGCAGTGCTCGGAGCTAAATAGACCCAGAATAGACACATTTAATCTCGTACCATTAGTGGAACATGGTCTGAGCACTTAAGAAAGTCTAAAACTTACGATGACAACTTGAATGAAACAAAATACGTCTAGGGTGTCGTCTGCATATATAAGTTCGCCATGTGTTCAACTTCAAGTGAATCGCGCGCAGTCAGGAAGCGTGACCTCTCTATGGCAACTGTTTGAACAAGGTCAAGGGTCAATACTGGGATGCGGCGATTTTAGTAGATACAGTCGAGACACAGCCAATTTCAATTTCAATATTTCAGGTTACAGTGTATATCATCTTTATGTGTCTCATATTTAGTGAAAACAATTTACTTTCATTTTATTTTTTGACACTTCTGAACATTCAACTCTAATGTACGCGATGTACTTTCAGGCCCGCAGTCAGCGCTTTTGAATAGGGGGTTCGAAAACAATAATACATTTGATGTGAAATGTGCATTTTTTAATTTTTAAATAGAAAAAGAGCGAATTCTTTGGTATCTTAGAGTTTTGTTACAGACATTTTTATATTCTCAGTTTTAAATGCAATTGGTTTACTTTGTGTTATGTTATTTCACATATTAACATCTTTACTATTTTACCGTTTTAGAGAAGGGTGTTCCTGAGCCATTCGCCATCCACAGACAAATACACGCATACCCTAAGATCCGCTACTGCAAATTGTTGTACTCAACAAAAGACAAGATTTGACATATTTTAGCATCATTTCTTAAGCATTTTACAGCAAGCTTCAGCCAAACTCGCTAGCGAATTGGCTAAATGTTTAGGTTTTGACTGAACAGTTGGCTTTCGAATCTCACCAAGTCACAGTATGTAAATGTTTTGGTTCACTGTTAATCTGTTATTGGATGGGAGCTGGCGGTAAGGCCAAAAAAATAGTTTTGTTGCCCTCAGCGACCGACTGAAAAATATGAAATATCGAGTCCGTTTTTTTTTTTTTTTTTTTTTTTTTTTTTTTTTTAGGCCCAAATATTGAAAACTCACCATTTTAAGCAGTAAAAAGTGTTTCCTCTAAAAATTAACGATCCCGGACCGTTCTTTTATCCTAGGGTTTATCTGTATTTCTCTGACATGTTCCGAATACTATGAAGTCTGAAGAGCAAACACGTCTTTTGCCATTTTGACATTTCCGATTTGACGGATAGTTGGTGCACAATATTAAAAATATCGCCGCACAATATACGTTTGTTGTAGTAAATATAATTTTTAATACATGAAATGCAAACATTTTTATTGAATCTACAAAACGTGACATTTTATATTAAAACTATCACTTCCGGGTTTGTCATCGTGTGTACGTAGATGTGTACAGCGGTAGCGAACATGGCAAACACGTTTGTTGTGTGCATGACAGCAAATGCTGGATCAATTATTAAATTTAGCAAAGTCACGTCACTTTAAAAAGTTGGCTTAATATAACCCCAAAGAGTCGTATTTCTGTGAAAGATTGGCATTTTTGTACTGATTTGTAGGAATCTGAAAAACGCGTTTCACCACAACTTGTCTCTTATTCAAGGTGCTCCCCCCCCCCCCATATAGTAAATATCGCATTTATTTTATTATCATTTGTGCGCCAGCTGACTGTGTGTTGTCCCATGGCACCATGAGATTTTTAGAACAATTCCATAGAACGTAATTTTGAAGAAAAATTGCATTTTTGATAACAAAATGTACCCCATCATTCACATTACTGACTAGTATATGATTTTCTTCAGCTTATGTCACCATCCGACAATTTGAGACATGGCATAATATCTGTGCCATAGGAACTTATGGTAAATAGTCAATAAAATACAACCATCATTTTCTCGAAAATTAGGTTGGTGACCCCAACTTTTTTAAATTTATATCCTTTTGCTGCCCGGGAGTACAGTTTGTCTGGGGAAACCAAATGTGTTGTTTCGTTGCAGAATTTGTTTTGTTTAAGTGAGACGCGACACAAAATTCCACAATCACGGACATACTTTATCGTTTGCGTTTCTTTCTTCTTTGTCTGAATCCCCGGTCTGAATCAAACTTCTCCATGAATAATATGACAGGGCGTCCTGCATACTAATCAAGTATGCTCATACATGATACATATATATTTATATATATATATTAGGAAATAAGATTATAAGCGAGCGATGCCAGACGTCTTATTTACATGCTAAAAATAAGGTAATGGGAACAGTTAACCTAGTGTCTACGCAGATCTACACGCCTTGGGTGTGCCGTGGTATTCAGTGTGCGATTTCTTAACAACATCATTAGGACTTTTCACCTATTTAACTTTATTGTGTGTGTATTCAAAAGAAAACCTTTAATAGGAGTCCCAACAACACTGTTATCAACAAACAACAACCTTCCCACATAAATAGAAGCGCTGAAGCCTGAGATAGTTCACGTTTTATCTCATTTACCGGACTATTATTTCACCACACACGCAATGTAATAGAATTACATTTTCCGAGGGCCCAAATGACAGTAGACAGTTAATTTGAATAGACGAGCCAGTATATTTGATGAGTGCTCCACCAAATGGTAATTTTCCGTTCATTCTGAACTTTGTCCGCCGGAACGAACAACGAGTCATTGCGAAGCTACTTAAAAGTTTTTTTTACAAGATTGGCTACCCAGCCCCAACACCCAACAGTCGGACCAATTAGAGAGCAGCTTCTTTTCGACAGGTGGTTCTCGACGTATCAAATTCTACCTTTTTACTTGATTGGCAACTATACCATATATAAAAGTAACATAGCGCATGATTTTGAAGTATCGACAAATCGTTAAAGAAAAGTTCAAATTTGAATCTCCGACAGACACTGAGAGATTAAAAATGACGACTAGAAATTGGCAAAGTGAATACCTTCATTTGAACTTATGGGCTATCAAGAATTGAATTGTGTGTCATGACCCGGATATGAATATTATGCAAATGTTCACGCAGCAGTATACATCAGAGCACAATCCGCCCAGACACCAAACACGTCACGTGGTATCAACTCTGGCAGCTTACTGCCAGATGGGTCTATTTAATGTATTCTTCCAAATTCAAATTATGCACTACTTTCCAACAATCATCGCTTGCAGTAATACATTACGCTATATGACTGCGTACGTCAATCACCGTGAAGATAAGAACGGTAGCGTGTACGTGGCATGGAGTGAAAATTAATGTAATTATGACAAACGCTAATAAGTGATTATAAAAAGGTATAAAGTTCTAACAAACATGCTCAAATGGGGGTGATTGTGGAGTAATACTCAACTCTTGAAAATCTCTTCGAATAGCCTTGTGGGACAATAATCTTTCCATCCAATCCTAAGATTTCGTTCGGTTACATAATTTAAAGCGGGGGTGTCGTCACCTTCGCATGTGTCAGATGGCCATAGCATGTCATTGTTTACAAACAAGCGTCTACCCATGAGCCTTTGCGTATTTAGCATGTGTTGTATAAGATTTAATGCCTGTAACAAACCTAAACACTGGTCACTCAACTTTCACAATGCGACACAATTCAACCCACACAATGCGACACTATACATTCAGTGAATGACACAGCACGGAAAAATGATCACACATCACATGAAAAGGTAATCACATATAATCACATAATTTGATATGTGATATTTTTTCCGTGTGATGTGTTATATATTTTTTTCTTGTAATGTGTATGATATTCTTGTTGTGCAGTTTGTGCATCATTTTCATGTGATAGTCTTGTGATGCTGTGTGATATTCATTTCAAATGCTGTGTGACATGATT